ACCCCATATCCAGTGTAAACCCGAAGGAATAAGACCGGGAGGCATGTGGATGGGAGCCACGTTTCATCAACGGAGCCGGCCCACACTCCTTCACAGGCAAACACAAGCACGCTGTATTTGGGAAATCAAGCGCACACAAGGCGGTGGCTGGACCGTAGTCCGCTCCACACTGAGTGCATGGAACCACTCTTCGAGCCTAGCACGGCCACAAGGACCGTGCACCCCATCCCCTCCAGCAACGACCAACTGTCCCCTGGAGGCAGTATGGACGAGGTAGTGGGTAATAGACAGGTAGGCACCTTGTCAACATGCACGTCAAGCGCAGCCACACCGGGGATATCAAGCAACAGCCAATCACTTGGAACGACAAGATGAAATAAAACAAATCCAATAATGCATACAGATACGGTGGCATAACACTTTGCTAAATTAGCATATGAAGTAAGTTGGTTAGCAACGAATACGCGATAAGGAAAAAATGTCCGCAAGTTACTTAAAAGTGCTACAAACGCAACAAAGTTACCGAACATAAGCACAAATAATGTAAGCAACATGGCCAGTTAATAGAAGAGTATTCAGGTAGACAGAACAAGCCAAGTAAAGTGGAATGAAATGTAGCCAGCTTAAAAAGACCTAGTTTAAGTGTAAGTTGGTTTAGCCCAACTGCGGTGAAGAAGCATCAAGAATGCAACATCAGCCTCAGCATGGGACACTATATATATATATATATATATATATATATATATATATATATATATATATATATATATATATATATATATATATATATATATATATATATATATATAGCAGTAGACATGCTGCCATCGAAAAACTCGTAGGCACCAAAAGGAAGTACAACGTGGGTAAAATGCGAGCGAAGCATATTTTAGGCGCCGATTTTTTTTCCTATTTTTGCGTGATCTGAGGGCGCGGTTTCTAGTCTGCGTGGAATCCGGGCGACCCTCGCACTGCCCTTAGCCCACTGGCGACCAGCGGTGAGTACGTGGCCACGAAGTGTCGGTGCTGCGCACCGGCGTACTGTTGATGCCTTTTTGTTAACTACAAATACTGGTCAACCGTTCTAGACATTACTCTGAGTCCCCGGGCTGATGCTGCCCAATCAACAACCGAATGTACGCCGTCAAATTGATTGGTTCGTTCAAAGCTTCGGAGTGGCGTGCAAACAAACAATGCCTGTTTGTCATTGCGGCCTACGCACCTATAAATTGTAATGCTGACTCGGTGAAAGGTAATCTCCATAACCAACTGAACGAGTGCATTCGTTAAAGAAATGTACGGCTACTGTGGTGATGGCTGGGGATCTGAACGCCCAAGTTGGAAATCTGTCCACGGTGTGTGCTTCCTTACTGATATCGGTGAGCGCTTGCTCCACTTGCGTGAAGATCCTCGTCTCTTTCTCGCGAGTACGAACCTCCTACACAGCACCCGCCGGAGCGTGACGTAGCGTCTCCCCGCCGTGGATGAAAATCGATCTCATCGCAGTCGGTTACAGCTGGAGAGGCTGTGTCCAATACTGTCGCTCGATTTGGTGCACAAACATGGATTTTGCCCACGTACTCGTTTGTGCCGATCTAACAGTTCGCTTCGGTGGGTACGTGCTGCAACATTGTAAGTGCATAGATACTTACCAGCTAGTGAAGCCAGATCTTCGGAATGCGTATCAAAGTACGCTGGCATTCGCGCTGAGTAAGCATTCTCTGAACGCAGTAGAAGGCCACTGGTCGCACATTCACCAGACGTGATTAACAGCAGTCGTCTTCATGTGGCAGATCAAGTTGTCAAGCTGGACATTGGGTCTCCGTGCAGTCTGGAACTTTTGGATATTCGCCGACACATTCCGGCTGGAGGCGAACACAACGAGACTCGCAAAAACTACAGGGCGAAACTGCATGCTAACGCGAAGAAAGGCCGCAACGCCCGGTGGTCTCATCCTGCATCGGAGATGTAAGTGGCCTTTGCCCGTGGGAACCATCAGAAGTTATTCTGTTTGATACGCGAAACGAGCAGACGGGGACCTGATGTTAGCGACGTCATACGTGACGAGGGTGGACGGTCGATCCACAGTTTGTCAAAACCTTTGGAGTGTTGGGCCGAACATTTTGAAAAGCAGCTTAATCAACCAGAAATATCAGCTTCTTCATCTGCCAAAGCTCGCCCTTCCCCTGGGCCGTCCCCCTTTACCCGCGTTCATGCGCATAAGTAGAACGTGAGATCAGACCGTCGAAAATTAATAAGGCCGCAGGAGCAGATATACTTCTTCCAGCTCTCTTCAAATTCGCAGGAACTTTTCTTGTAGAGCAGGCAACTGTCCCAGCAGACTGGAGCTGCTCCGTCCCAATTTTCAAATGGGCCTCACGTTCGTAATGCAGCAATCATAAAGGGATCATTCTGGTCTCAGTTGGCTCTAAGATCCTCACCTCTGTCGTTTTTCCTAGACTTGATGACACTCGTGAAACCCGGATTCATGTGGAGCAAGTCGGGTTTCCTCGAAGTCACAGCTGTATTGCTCACATCTTCACACTACGTCAACGGTTGGAGCATCGCCACCGTATTCGTTTTCCTCAGTTTCAAAGGTGCCTTCACTTCAGTTGACCAATGTGCGCTTTTGGAATATCTACTCAGGAAAGGTATGCCCGAAAAATACGTAAACATTATCAGAGCGCTATATGCGCATAGTTCGAGTAGAGTGAGGGCTTATAGCAAGCTGTCGCCGTCCTACGACATCCACATCGATGTGAGACAATGATTCCCGCTTTCGTTTTTAATTTTTAACTCCATCGGCGAAGTCAGACAGACTGCGTTCGCTTGACACAACCTACAAGACGTGAAGCTGCTCCCAGGTGACTGACTTTTGACTCGGAGTACACCGACGACATTGCCTTTATCTGTGACAGCTCTCAAACCTGCCACGTAGCACTGGACAAATTAGCACTGACTGTCAGACGTTTTTGGCTATGCTTTGCACCGTTAAAATGTAAGTTCCCTCTCCAAGATTGGCAGGGACCCACCTCTGCGCTGACCCTTGGTGGGGATCAGCTAGAAGTCCTCGAAAAATTCACGTATCTAGGCAGTGATACCAGCGCCACTGGAATTGAAGATGAGATCACAAAACACATAGCAAAAGCTCGAGACGCTTTTGTCAATCTCCGCCACCTATGGCGCCGGCGCGACATTACTCTTTCCCTGAAGGGCAGAGTTTACAGTGCAGTCGTCTGATCATCCTTACTGTACGGTTGCGAAATCTGTCCCACCGAGTCGATAGACTTAAAGAGGCTAGTTACTTTCGATCATCGCTGCCTTCGTTGCTTAGCTCCTGTCTGATGAGAGCACCGCATGAGCAGTGAATGCGTTCGGCGTCGTGCATTTGGTGAAGGGAGAGCGAGTGAACTGCCCAGCACCGTTATACCACGCACCAGCCTCCGATTGCTGGGCCAAATATTGTGCATGTTAGCACACCAACTCCCGCGTCGTGCATTGTTTGCGCTTCGGGGATGTGTGTGTAGAAGAGGGGAGACCGAGCGATGACCTGTTCGAGAGGAATAAAGTCCTTTACTTCGAAGTTGGCGTCAGTTTGTGTCTCCCGACTGCAGGGATGGGGATCGAAGCACAGTGAACACGTCTAGCTGGATACACTAGTTGACATGGCAAGGAACCGATCTCAGTGGTGTATGCATTATGAGTATCTTTGTCCCTCCCATCCCGCTTATCTTCTTCCACCAACCACGATCTCTCTGCTGAAGTACAATATGTTACCAAGCAGCTTGTTGCCTGTTATTATACTGTAATGTTTAGTATCCCGCTTTTTAGTGCATCTTATCTTTTTTTTATTATGGAAACAATAGTTGAAGTGTGTTTCTCATCCCCAGCTAATGTGTAATGATGACGATGCAGTGAACAGTCGCATGTGCGCGATTCGACTTCTACGCTCCATCTGAATTATTAAGCAACGATCAGGAACAAGGCACCATTTTGTTTTCTCTTCTTTACTAGGGACTGATCTCTAGGGATTTTATCTTTCTGTTCCAACACATCCTGCTGGTTGAGTCACTACTATCTACTTCCTATAGCAGACGACCGGGCGTGCACTTCTGTTAGTACCAAGTGCTTCGCAGCACCAGCTCCATATAATCGGTAATGCCTTGTAATGTGGTCATTTCCCGTCATCTCCGCTTTTTATAAGATGCGTATACTCACCGTGATCTCTTCTGAGCGTCTCATCAGCTTTGTAAGCATGACGCGTTTACTGCGCGTCCTACACTCATCAACAACCGCGGAGTGCGTCACACCTTGGAGTGCTTACTTTGAAAATGGCGCTATATGTGCGACTCACATTTGCAAATGCTTTTCGCTCTACTTTGAGGTCTGATGTGTCTTGAGTCCCTTTTTGACTGCTCGAAATCGTTCTCGGTAACTCATATTGGGTGTGTATTCATTTTTTGATTTCATCCCATCTCTTCGTTTTCTGGTCTGCCACCATTTCAAACACGGTAGCGTTTATGGTATTCATGTTATCTTTCACCTGCTTTCTGCTGCCTATTCTCCTTCTAACACTTTTTCAATTCCTTACCTCCGCTGATTTTCGGTCCAGTTGCGTCGCTGCAACCCATCTACTAGGTGTGAGCTGCCCTATAGCATCACAGTTATTGTTCGGTTCAGTAAGACTGTTGACCTATAGCTTCCAATCGTTATTATGGGTGTGTGACACTCGGTGTTACGATATAATTTCATGTTGCAGGACAGCTCTTCATCCACCGCTACTGCATTCATTTTACACTACACGGTAATGCAATTTTTATCTTGTCTCTACTTGCTACTGATTTTACTGACTTTTCTGTCATAATCTCCACATCAAATTAGCGGGTGGATGAAGCAGTTGGTTCACAGAAGAATGGTTGCGTATTTGGGCACCATTTTACTGTACTCACGTTATGCTGCAACTTTCAATTTGTTACTTCCCTACCCGTCTTCTTGTTCAGATAACTCTTTACGATCTGGATGGCAGCGCAGTGGAAACTCTGATCGAGTTCTGTTATACTAGCCAGATTACCGTCGAAGAATCCAATGTCCAGACCCTCTTACCTGCTGCATGTTTGCTACAAATTACAGAAGTGCAAGATGTGTGCTGTGAATTTCTGAAGCGACAGCTAGATCCTTCCAACTGTCTTGGGATACGTGCGTTCGCGGACACCCATGCCTGCCGTGGACTTCTTCGAGCAGCCGATCGGTTTACGCACTTGAACTTCCTAGTATGCATCATTTTCACTTTGTTTCCTACTGAGATCACTTTCCTGCACCGTTTTCTTATCACTTTGGTAGGACATCGAAGTACTTTTTGGGAGTAGGCGTTACAGAGGGTTGACACTGGTAAGGGAACTCAGCTATCTGCTTCGTACGGTTTTACGTCACACTGAGAGAGTGGATGCTATGAAAACGTAAGTATTAGGGCATGCTGATAACCGAGGAAGGTGCTGCAAAGCAATCGACAACGGTGAGGATCAAAGCACTTATTGCAGTTCTCGTGTCTCTGTCCTCCTCCTTCAACGCAAAGCTGTGCTCCACATTTCCTCTCTTCGGCCCGATGTCGGTGCCTTTCCAAATAACTCATTACTTTTCATCTCTATTTGTGCGGAGCACGTTTGCACAGGTATGATCAGTTGGTTATAGAATTTTCCATGCATGGATCACATGCTAAGCAGTATTCACTAGCATTGACGAGAAGAAGCGTAGTAGACAACCGTCCTGTTGAGAATTGAACGGGAATCTTTTATCCCCGGACTACCTGCAACGTTAGCTAGCGCAAGACATTTTCTTCACAATTTCTTGACTGAATTTTGTTAGTCTAGCTCGTTGCTTAGGTTAGTAAAATTTCACCTGTATTACGGGACACATTCATTTTAGTATCCCAGCAGACTCCTCATGCTTGTCCTCTAGACAATTGGTGGGCACTTTATGTGTTAGCCATGAGCCAGACTGATCCAAATACCAGTTAGACACCGTTTCGTGAATTTATTCGATTGATACTTTTCTTTTTCGTCATCCTTAATCTTTTCACCTCGAGGGATTGTTCTACGTTATTATCGAGTGCGAAGTCGTAAATTAGCAGAAAATATGACGGTCCACTACACAACCTCGATTGATTCAACTTCTGTTCACTAACCGTTGCTTGAATTTAGAAAGCACTCGGAATAGGCAGCAGCATGTTTACAGTGATTAACAATCTTTTTGCAGTTGGATCAAAGCAATTCAATGGGAGTTGACTAAACCGACGATTTCTCCACAGCGCAATCTGCTACAAATGAGTTCATCCCGCTTTCGTTCCATCGCCTAGCTATGTAGTGGTTCAATGGTTACAATATTTGCACCTCGGGTTCCTGTCCACGCTACTGCCTAGACCTAGTTCCCCTAATAATATTTCAGCTCATGTACAGCCGATTCTGGTGGCGTGACGGCGTATCATCGGGACAAAGTACACTTGCATTCGGGCTGCTTTTTTACCTCCCCATCGCCGTCATACAAGACCTATATGTGGTGCAATGGTCTACATTCCTCCTTAACCCATTGAACTGTGTCGCATGGTACTTTCCAAATGCCCTCAGAGACATTCTCACATAATCTCAGTCACAATGTCCTCAGAATAGAAGTGGGAGAAAGTTGACTCCCATAGCGCCGACACGATGCACGTCGTAGGAAGCGCAAACGGAAAACTGTATGTAGACTTATAAACTTAAACTACGCACGGTCTGATCAGAAGAAATAAAACGCAAATTCTTGTAGTCGCGACTGTAATATAATAAACCCTTTCGCGCATGATTAAAGAAACTATGTTAACAATTTTAATCGATGCGGGATGTAAGAAAGCACTTAAAATGAAAATTCAGTGCTGTCCGATGATTAGTCGACATTTCAATTAGCTTCACTGTAGTGGAATGCATACACAGAGGTGAGAACTTTCTTGTTTTAGTGTATAAATTGGCACAACAGTCTGGGCACAGGCATTCATTGCACTTTACGCAAATGTACTTTGTTTTCCTTCCGCAGTGTGTATCATGTCATCTTTTCGCATTCTTGATATTTGTCAGCTTTGGCCAGTGGTTGCCTTCATAAAATCTTACTTCTGTTACAGCTTTTGAGATTCCATTACGTTTTTTCACCATAGGGGGAGTTGAGCTCGGTCGTCCTGTTTTTATTCCTGTCTGGTCGTATGTGCCGATATTTATTAGGGCTCTGTCAATTGAAACCTTGAAATGCAAAAGGGTTAAATTGCTGCCAGCTTTCCTGTGTAAGAACCACCACATCCATACAGTGAAACAACACTCTGAGATGCCAGCGCTTATTGCGACGCCGGTATGGGTAGAGCGCTGCACACTGCTCGATGAGGTTTACACCACCCATGTGATTATTATAACGTTACAGGGTCGGGGTGTATTGACTATCTACTTTTCCTTCCTGCTCCACCGCCGTGCCAGGTCTAGAGATGAGGTCCGGAACATATTGATGCAATTTGAATAGAAAAAATTATCAAACCATCGGGGGATTGCTACGTTGTTCTCATTTGTAACCGACGTGAATGTGCCTCTACCTTATTTCACCTTTTTCTCTATTGGCAACCGTGACTGGACTCCCTGAAGTCTGTTAGTACATGTTCCAGTACCATAAATTCCCTGTATTTTTTGTTTGTCGAGCAAGGTGACGCTTGTAAAAATAGTAACAAAGAACACATTTTCATCTCCATGATGGGTCTCTTCGTAGAGACGAAGTGCAACATCAGCACACGCGCCAGATTCACTGACACCCTCCGTTCCACCACCCACTCCTTTGCACACTTCAAACCGGTATGTATGTATATAATCTCAACAGCCTAGCAACTAGACATAGAGCCATCCAAACTGGTAAATATAACCAGAACTACCAGCTCGAACCCACACTTTAAGCAACATGGTTTCGACTTTTTGACAAATATTGCTTTATCAAACTTCGGTCTTTGAATGGGGCTATCTGTTCATCAATTGTCTGATCTTCTGGTTCAGCTGCTTTCAAAAATGAATTTTGTAGGTTATCAAGTAGAGGCCTGATCTTGGAAAGCCTGAGAGGATTGTCCTGTTCTCCGAGCCGGGCATTTCTGTTACAGACGTTTCATTACCAAACTGGACAACATCTTCAGTGCAGCTATGCAGTCCTGATTCGCGGAGTCTCGCAAACCAATGCAATAGTACACCCATATAAATTGCGTGTACCGGATATGGACTTGTCCGCCGTTTTGACTACACAATAGAAAGAAAAATCATTTACCGTGCCGACAATGGTTGCGTCATACAGGGCAATGTCTCTGCAGTGGACTGCATGCATCGGAGGTCATGAAAATCTCCTGTGTAACTGTGGAACGAGCCAATGGTAACCGGTCCACTACAGTGATCTCTATGCGCGAAAGGGTTAAGAACAGTAGATGGCTTACGAATTGGTTTGCAATCGTAATGCTAAACAACACACATTAAGGTGTGCTGCAGCACACAGAAACGTAATTGCGTAACAATTCGCTAATCGGCTGGTTGCCGGAAGGATTACGCGCTTGTCTTATAACACTGGGGTCATCGGTACGAATCTGCGTATGTGCGGACTACGTCGCGCGACTAGTGGTGGTCACATCACAGCGAAACGTCGGTGCGCGGTGAGGCGGCGTACTGCTGATGTCTTTCCGCGCATTCGCTATTCGGGAGTCCTGATAGGTTGAAATGACTCGACTTTGATGAGTCAAGGACATACAGATGTTGAAAGCACACATATCATCATCATCATTATACACCTTAGTTAGAGGTTGAAAGCTCAGCTATTGTGCCGCAATACATAAGGTAAGAATAAAACCTGCAACGGAAGCACGCTAGTTGAGTCACGAGTAACAGCTGGACATCGTTCCGCAAGGCTAACCGCCGACTGTTGTGCTGCCTAGGAAATGAGATCGTGGTTGCTGTCATCTAATACGACCGGATGAAGCCGCACGTCATTGTACTCTGTATAGGCTGTGTGACTAGTCCCGAACATGTCTCCGGGCATTAGTACGACCGTACTCCGGAACTGGACCTGTTTACACTGCTTTGCAGGTCAGGCTATGGCGTCAGAGTGTATGGGTGAGAACACTTAAACAAAACTCATTCACCACGATTGTTCATAGGATAGCGTTCACCTAACAGAATTTTACGGTAAAGACTCTTTCCTTTGTGTTTCCTGCCTTTTACACTTATTCTGGGGTAACAAACACACCTAAATCGTTCTTCGAACCATGAGTTTTGTTTCACTTTGTATTTTCATCGGCCCGTCGACACCGAGTACTGATTCTTCCTCCGTGCCGCATTGTAGTTGGCAATCGCTTTGCCTTTGATCTACGCGTTTTAGCCATTTTTCTGCTACTTCGTTGTTATTATCAGGAGCTAAGTTCGTTCACAGCGTCTAAATAACAATCAGCAGAAACTAATCTACTCGAATGGATTACGTGATTCTACTTCCATGCTCTCGGAGTCAGTGAGTACCAAGCGAAGTCAAAGCGTTTTTCTGTCGTTTTCTTGTACCCGGATGCCAACTGTGATCTGTGTGCCATCAAAAATTGATCCTATTGGTAGTCATACCCCCTATTGTCGGGAATGCGGTTTTTGTTATCAACCCCCAGTTAGGTCGCTCATCGGGCTGCAAACAACATCTTTGAGACCTTTCCTTTACCAGCGCTTGCTGTACTGCTACTGGGAATCGCTTTTTCCAACTAATCTGCTGGTCACAACTGTTCTACCAGTCTCGCCGTTTCCCAGGATGAACGTTCACATTGCGGCGCTCTTTACCTAGCGAAGGAAACGGTGCTTTCGATCAGAATTGCACGTGTTACTATTGGTCGCAGGTGGTGCACTTCACTGCATGGTTCTGTTGCTCTGGAGCACATTCCCATCATTCTCATCATACCTTGCTACTCGCTCTCACATCCTCCACTGTCGCGACTCCAGCGAAGTACCCAACTTCGAGGTTTATCATGTCCCGCCCCCATTCCTAGCCCGCAGTTTGGCAGTCTTTCGCCGAATTACCTCGTCACTTATCGTTGGTGAACTGAGTGCATTAAATCATTTTCACTATATCACATAGCAAGCCCTCGACACGTTTATCCGCTTGGCTCGAAGTGTCTAAATGGTTGATACGTTCATAAATATCGTTCGGTTTGAATCACTGAAATCTATTCCCCGAAACAGTGCTCTACTAGATGTGTTAGGGTTGACCGGCAACTGTGGTGTGCGATGAGGGTTTTTTGTGTAGGGAAACCCTATACTATTCGGATCAGTTAAGTACTGGTCCAATCTAATCAAGGCTCAATTGGCGAGACTCACTGAAAACAACGATCAACTGTTCCCTTCACAGCCACGTCGTCTACACCGTTGGGTGGAGCATTCTGAAGAACCCTCCATGTAATGGGCAATCCACACTGCCGCGCTTTCATGATGTATCGAAGTGTTAATCTCTCTGTGTTCATTCTATTTCACTGAATGAGCTCAGTGTTAGGCTAGCACCCTCCTCAAATCAGGTCCGCTGATTAATAAACTGCAAACCTGTCCAACTTCACTTGTAGATGACGGTGGTGGCAGTTGTGTCATCTGATACGGCTGGGAAATGTGCACGGATTGTCTTTTCTTTGTAAAATCGACATTTAACCAAGCTTCAAATATCCAATTGCCTTTGAAAATGAATTTTTCCGTTCAGGGTACACTTTTCGTCAGGAGATTTCAGGCGCCTGCCCACCAACCACTTGATTGTATTTGGCTCGCCTTATCCCCAGTCTGATTTCGCTCTAAGTTGACGTGGTAAAAACTGAAACGTACGCTTCTGGTATTTTTGTGGGGGTTGGACGCCAATACTCTTTAGTAGTTCATGACAGCGGATCTCCATACTCTGTATCTTTTCTGCACACGGTCTTCTTGACATCTGGTCATGTGATTGATCCATACATCTGCGACTGATGTCACTATAAAATAGTTGTACTTCATGTATTATTTGGCTTTGCAGACAACTAATGTCACGTCTATTTTTTGTGTGTTCTTTACCTTCCCCTGTTGATCTAAGATATGTGAATCTTACTTTTATGGTTGGAACTCTTCATTTCATTTCGGTGCACTATGCATTCAGATTAGTTTGAACACATCTGCCTTTCCATAAATTCATCTTATGCTTTTTACTGACGAAATCCACCGGAGCGCTTATCTTACTTTTAGTAAAGTGCTACATACGCTGACGGATGCGGTTTTTTCGTTTTTTTCAGGATGTTGTGGAGTCGGAAGAATTCTTGCTGCTTCCAATGAAGCAGTTGGTGGAGATTCTCAGTTCGGATGAACTGAATGTCCGCTCAGAGGAGCAAGTTTATCGGGCTGTCATGCGATGGATACACCACAACCTATCCGACCGGCGGCATCATCTGGCCTATCTCATGCAGCATGTCCGGTTACCCCTGCTGTCGCCAAAGTTTCTAGTAGGTACCGTAGGAGCCGATATGCTCGTCCGATCTGACGAGCGCTGTCGTGATCTGGTGGATGAGGCTAAAAATTATCTACTCTTGCCCCAAGAGCGTCCACTCATGCAGGGCCCGCGAACAAAACCCCGTAAACCGTCACAAGCCGGCGAGCTATTGTTCGCAGTCGGCGGCTGGTGCTCCGGTGACGCAATCGCCTCTGCTGAACACTATGATCCTCGGACACACGAATGGCATTTGGTTGCGCCGATGCACAAACGACGGTGTGGCGTCGGCGTGGGAGTTGTGGACGATCTCCTGTTTGCCGTTGGCGGACATGATGGACAGAGTTATTTGAATTCCGTGGAACGGTAAACTTTTTCAGACGATGTCACGTTGTTATTGTGCCTGATTTAACTAACTTGCATTGCGCTGGTCATCGTCTGCGTGTCATCACCTATAGCGTTAAGTTTGTTATCCTTATCTCCGGAAGTATGCGATTACCCTCGCAATTTCTTTTTCCAGAGGAAAAACTCCCTAGGATAAACTGAGCGTTTACTGGGAATCTTTTGGTTACATTTTACTTTAACTGGGTTCATGTGAATCCCCGTCTGACTCGAAATCCACACTCCTTATCTAGATCTCTCGTTTGCTACCTTGTGTGACGGTTTTTTAATAATTTACCCTGAGTGCAATCCCCCATTAATCTAGTCGCTTTTTCGACCATTCTATTGAATCAAAGGTAAACATAAGACGCTCCAACAGATCTCCATTTCAACAATCGCCCACACAGTCTTGTTACTGATTTTTAATCATCTTTATATTTTCTTCATACCACCCGCTTTCTAGTTTAGGCGACAAGTGACGGAATCCCCGCTTTGTAATTACGACAATTAGACCATGTTATTCTTTGCACTCCGAGTTCCATGCTGCCTCGGTTCCTTAAGTGTTTGCACTCCCAATCGAAGAACATCTTAACAAATCTCGTTAATCATCACTTCGTCTTCTCTTGAAGTTTATGTACAATCTTCGAAACATATGTACAAACATGCAGCATCTCCAATTGTCTAGATCAGATTTCAGGAGCTATAGCTATGTTCTTCATGTTTCTAACAATACTGGCCAAAAACTTGGCGGTCTTTTGCTGCTTTACGGTTACACTCGAACAGAGTGCATTCCGATGTCGAAGTACGCGGTTACAATTTGCAGGCGCCACTTAAACCCACAGTATCTTTTTATTGTTTCTGTGTATTTCTCCATTGACATTGCCCCGAATGTCATTCAAGTCGATTTCTGTCTACAGTCCTCATCCGAATAATCAGAAATCGGGCGAGACGGACGCTCAAGCGGCTGTTTTACGAAACCGGGCGGTCACTTGAGCTACGTTTTTAAGTTACTCTTTCTCGTAGTCGTGATATTGATAGGTAGGTAGGCATTCGCAGCATACCAGTAGTGTTTGTGGTAGTGCTTCGCTGCCACGCAACCGCAGGTGGTTGTGCACCGGCTAGAACACTGCCAAGGTACTCGAACCTGGCTGGCTTGCCGAACTACCTCCTCGTGGTGCCAGCTGGGTGGTTCGGGTGTACCCGGTTCCAGCAAAGTGTTCGGCGACAATGTTCCACCTCGATGGGACATTGTATTCCAGCAGGTGTGCTGACTTCATGGGGAGTATTGGGCCCCTGTTTGGTAATCTACCAAACAAAGACGCATGAACTGAACATTCAGTCAACGCCTCCCAATGGGCGCGATTCCCTAAATTCGCCCCGCTGCCTTGCGGGTAGGTTATTTAACCAAAGGCTCGGGGTGGAGTCCCCTAAGTCAACTCCCTACTTCGGCTTGGGCAACCGGGTAGTATCACGCCCTCTCGCAAAACCATGGACTGTATTACAACGTGCTCATCAGCTGCTGTTTCTGCTACTCACTTTCACGCGACTTCATCACACGCCAATTGTTTGTTTGTTAACAATCCTCACTTTCCGTTACCCGATTCATGTGCTCAACAATCTGGCTGCGATTCCGGTTGCGCCGCAGACCAAGAGGTTCAACCTATGGCTCTCCTTCGTCCCCGATCCTCGTTCCGTCTGGCGTGCTTCAACGTTCGGACACTCATGCAGATTGGACAGCAAGCCGGTCTAGCGCGCACCCTAGATTCCCTAGACATTGATGTCTGCTGCCTTTCAGAAACCCGATTGCAAGATCCCAGCACTGTGCTTACACTGACATCCCCCACTGACCACGAAGCCAAATATCACCTGCGTCTTTCTGGAGATGCAGAAGCAGCCTCAGCGGGTCTGGCTGGTGTAGGTATAGCACTAAGTGACAAGGCCGAGGCGGCACTACTGGACTGGTTCCCTATTAACAGCCGACTATGTGCAGTTCGGCTTCGGGGTTCGTGTAGAATCAACAGGCACCGCGAAGAGAGACACAACTTGTTTGTGATCTCCGTGTACGCTCCAACTGACTGCAGTGACGACTCGGTCAAGGACGAATTCTACCGGGATCTACAACAGCTCTTGACTAATGCTAAAAAGTCGGATGTCGTTATCCTTGCTGGGGATTTTAATGCACGGGTTGGCCGCCTGTTACCATACGAACGCCACCTTGGTGGTCATCACGCGCTCGATGAGAACCGCTCTGATAACGGAGAGAGACTTCTCACATTGTGCGAAGACAACCGTCTGTTTCTTTCGAGCACTAACTTCAGGCGTACGAAGAAGCGTTCCGCAACGTGGCGTCCCCCTTCACCAACACAACCGTGGTCTCAAATTGATCACATTGCAATTAGCTTCAGATGGCGCGGCAGCGTACTGGACTGCAGGTCCTTTTGGTCCATCTTCGTTGACTCAGATCATGCTCTGGTCTGCGCGAAAATATGTGTTTTGGAGGATCCTGAAACACGAAGCACCGCAAGATTGATGTAAACAGATTAACTGATTCCTCTGTTCAGACGAGCTATCAGTCTTCATTGGCATATGCACTCAGTTGCAATCCACCGCAAGACGTGGAACAACACTGGACTTGTATACGGAAGGCAATGACCATTTCCGGACAGTCATGCTGCGGCCTAACTCGACGCCCGTTGAAGGCTTGGATCTCTGCTCGTTCTCTGGAGCTGTTCGAACGCCGCAAAGATATCCCGGCGGAATCAGATTGCAACGAGCGGCGCCGTTCTGCCAACCGGCTGCTCAAGCAAAGCCTACGCAAGGATCGCGAGACATGGTGGTCTGAGCGTGCTTTAGAGATGGAGACTGCTGCCCTCTCTGGCAACACTCGCAGGCTTTTCCAACTCATTCGATCCACTGGCCTCAGGAAACCTGGTGTCAGTGAGGTCATTTGTGAGGTGGATGAGTCTCCGATCACCAACCAACAGAGGCGTATGGACCGCTGGGCCGAGCACTTTCACTCGCAGTTCAACTGGCCTCCACCATCCATCAGTACATACAGTACACCTTGTTGTCCACCCTGGCTCGTCCCTCTGAATCCACCCAGCGAAGCGGAAGTCTACCTCGAGATTCGACGCTTGAAGCGCTTCAAGGCTGCCAGCTTAGACGGACTTCCTCCGGAACTATTCAAGTACGGCGGTGTGGCGATCATTAACCAGCTGACCGCGCTGTTCTCAAAAATTTGGCATGAAGAGAAAGTGCCTTCCTCTTGGGGCGAATCAGTCATTATCCCGATTTTCAAGAAAGGCGCTCGCACTTCATGTGCAAATCATCGCGGGATTAGTCTCATTTCGGTTGCCTCTAAGCTATTGGCATCCATTCTGCTTCGCAGGCTATCCCCAGTACGTGAATCATACTACCGCGAAGAACAAGCTGGTTTCCGTCCTGGCCGCGGATGCGTGGATCAAATCTTCACGCTCCGCCAGCTCCTCGAACATCGCCACATTTATCTCAGGCCCACTATCATTGCATTTCTAGACATACGTGCCGCTTTTGACTCCTTTGATCGACCTGCTTTATGGCGTTGCTTACTAAAGAACGGGGTGCCAGAGAAATATACCGCCATCTTACGAGCACTTTACCTTCATACATCCGGCAGAGTGAGGGTCTATGGCAAGCTTTCCTCGCAATTCACTGTCAATAGCGGTGTGCGACAGGGTTGCCCTATGTCCCCATTCCTCTTCAACTTCGCAATCGAAGACGTTCTGTCGAATGCTCTAGAAGGTTTCCAACATTTTGGCTTAGAGCTTCTACCGGTTGAGCGCGCGACCGACTTAGATTATGCTGGTGATATCGCCTTACTTGGTGACGATCCTCAGGGTATGCAACTCATTCTGAATCGTTTGGCGGTTGAAGCATCTAAGTATGGCATGAGCTTCGCCCCATCGAAGTGTAAAATACTGCTCAAGGATTGGCTTTCACCTGCTCCCGTGCTCACTCTCGAAGGTGCACAACTTGAACAGGTAGATAGTTTCGTCTACCTTGGGAGCTGTGTTTCTGCTGACGGCACTATCAACAAAGAAGTTTCTCTTCGTATCGCTAAAGCTCGATCAGCATTTGTCAATTTGAGGCACTTGTGGCGTCGTCGCGATGTCTCATTCTCACTAAAGGGCCGCGTCTACAGCGCATCAGTTCGCTCAGTATTGTTGTATGGGTGCGAGTCCTGGCCGATTCGCGTGGAAGACATGCGTCGTCTTTCTGCGTTCGATAACGGTTGCTTATGGAGGATCGCTCGTGTTTGGTGGCAACATCGAGTAAATAGTAATGACGTTCGACGTCGCATCTTGGGGAATGCGAGTATTCCCTTCAACAAACTGGTTTTGTTGCGCCAGTTGAGATGGCTCGGTCACGTCCTTCGCATGGCACCTGAGCGTCTACCGTGTCGCGCTCTATTCGCTCGTCAAGGACGTGGCTGGAAGCGACCGCGTGGTGGTCAGCGTTCCACTTGGCGGCAGCACATGAAATCGCTGACGTCGTGTCTAGCCGCTGTTGGATCCGTACGTCTTCCAGGATGGGGACCCAAAGATGAGGAGTGCCAATTGCTTAGCACTCTTGATGATATGGCCCGCAACCGGAATCAGTGGAAGAATTGTGTACAGTATTGTGTTGATTCACATGATTAGTACTACAAACATTAAAGTGACAAAAAAAGAACAAAAGCGGCGTGTGAAAAGCCAACTAAAAATGTTTTGTTCTACTTTTTATCGAAATGTTCTATTCTTCCTGCGACATATTAGTTGAAGTGTGTTGCTCACCTTCAACTAGCATGCCACGATGACTATGACGCGTTGAATCTTGCTTATCTGTTGATCTCCATGGTTTTATACTGGCTCTGTGTCTAGTAAATAGACAGTTGAGAATACATACATACATACTCGAACCTGGAGTGGAGTCTTTTCCGCTACACCCCAGACACAATCATGCAGCAGCGCAGCCTTCCAACACAAGCTTCCGTATCATGTCATCTGGTGCAGTCCGCGCAATCCGATATTTCCCACTCATGTTGCTCGACTCGCTACCAACTGCGCTTCGTCCACGTCATTAAGACGTTGCCGGTAACCCGGTATAACAGGGGATTATCTAGTTCTGCAGCACTCACCGACGCCACTCCTGAGAGGGATAACTAGAGGTATAGTTCTATCTGCGTTGACCTGGCGAGCCCGAACTTGGCCACCTTTGACTGGAATACCATCATCATGCTTCGCAGCTCTTCGCTTTTTGCAAACAACTCACTACCATTCCTAAGCGTCGGCCCGTAGCTTAGAGGCAACGACATCGTCTCGTGATCTTGCGGCGCTGGTTCGAATCCGCGTAGGGGTTGACCTCTTCGCGGTATACTCCACCCGCATGCGACTGGTGGTAGTCGCACGGCCGCGAAGCGCCGTTACGGCGTACAGCTGAAACATTATTATTATTATTAATATTATTATTAATATTTTATTCCTAAGCAACTACATCCAATGAAGTTCCCATTCGAATAGAATAAAGCTTCGGCAATCCACTGCACGCGATTCCAAAAGCAGTTGCCTTCCTAACATCTGTCTCACCTTCACTGAGGTGAATGTATTTTTCAGTGCATCGCAATTTACTAAAAGCAAGTCACAGCGATTCATCGTATCTAGCCTCTTTTTGAGACTGTCAAGTCAAGCTAATCTTTGTGTACCAAACTTTGTGGATTTTCAGCTTTTCATGTTATCAACTGTAGATGGACCAAATTGGCACCATCAAAAATGAGACATTCTACAAATGAGTAGACAAAAATGAAAATAATGCACTGTCATCACTACGGGTAAACGGCCCGGCTTTCCAGAACAGCGATTGCACAATGTTGAACAAAATCCTCGGGAATTGCATTTAGTCACCAAGGCAGTTTTACTAAACATTTTCTTCATAACTGCTTTTAGTTGACGTACAAGTTCGTGTCCAAAACAATAAATCGGGTATATTGCGCAGTATCACACTACTTGTATTCAAAAGTTGAATGGAGTAGGGTGGCCCTAGTGACCTTGGAAATTGTTTGAATAAAGAATATGTCTGTCTATTCTGGCAGAACTGATATATCTACAGTGGCTCATGTAAACGTGACGTTTGGCGAAATAGGCAATGGTCGATTAAAAGGCGCCGCCACGAGAGACAGTAGTTTTTTTCGTTATTGTGTAACCGATGCGCTGTGAGAGCTATTCAACTAGGTTGTAACTTCGCAAAATCCGCGTTGTCCCTCGGTCACTTTGCACTACTCCGTCATGCGAACAGCAAAGTGATTGCGCGGGTTCCGCACCATCACTTCCAGCACAGTGTGACAATGTTGCTATTTGCATTATCATTGCGCATTGTGCATACCACATGGTGTCAGTGGAATGTCCTATCGTAAGGTGTTGCTGAACACAACTCACGAACCTAGTGAATTCTATCGTTGAACCCATCAAGTGTAGTCTTCCATCTGCACGTCTCTGTCAATTGGCTGGAATGTGTGCATGTTACGGTGAATTCCTCGTAGTTCGTCTAACCGAATCAACGGAGGAACCACATTAGACCAAAAGCGTCCTTGCCAATATAAGTGCACGAGCAGCATGTATCGCGAGGCGTTTTGTGGGTTAAACATGCTGTCACTTTTTTGAGTTACCCTTGCTGAATCAAACACTTGATCCTAAAGTAACAAATTTCGCGACACAAGGGACTATTCAACTCTAGTCACTTTTAGCTAAGAAGTTCCATCCACATTTCATGAAGTCATCAACTGAATACTGCCAATGTTTGCCTACTTGTTTCAGTTGATAAAATATCCCAGGCGTAGACATCAGAAGAAAGAGTTAGCGAACAAGCTGTTGTTTTCAGTGATTTTCCTCACGAATAAAAGACATTGAAACATAAACAACAGATAAGTGTATATGTTTAGAAGCCTAAATGGTCTAAGTGCCCAAACTAGGTGATTGGATAAATCTGGAGCCTCGTGGAACAAAGAGTAAAATAGTTTCAGTAGAGAAGCAGCCGGTCTATTTATCGGTACCGTTCATGGGAGACGGGATAGCGGAATCAACATCCAAAAGGCTTTCTGATGCCGTTTCTCAAACTTACTACGCAGCAAGCTTAAGCTCCAGTTCAGTGTCAATCATGAACCAGCAACAAGGACAGGATTCCGCGGTCAAGTATTTCTTTTTGTGTTCATTCTTTTTCATGTTAGTGTCGATCAAAATATATCGGAAGAACCACCAGGAGACTATTTGAGAGAGCCCGTTGGCACTGCCCAGATTGGTTGTATAGCGGATTGGTTAGAACGGTGGCAAGCGCCGTGTCTGCGAATTTGGTTAGTCCGACCACCGATTGATGCATAAGAGGCTTTCCATCCCATCTACAGCGTATCCAGGCGCCATACACGAGCGGTCAGATGTCGCCTACTGGCAGCGGTCGAAGCAATTGCCATCCGGCTTCATGACCCTGACCTATGCTCACTTAAGAAATTCGTCTGGGCACTCACTCTACCCTGACCACCTGTAACGCTGACACATTGTGTGGTTAACACCACACACAAACCCTCGATCGTTGTGGGACCAATCAGCTAGCTTGGGCACTTAGACCATCTAGGCTTCTGAACATGTGTCCTATCTGTTTTTACATTTCAATATCTTTCATTCGTAGTGTATTAGCCTGAGGAAAAGTACTGAAAACAAGAGCTTGTTCGCTAACTCTTTTTTGATGTCTATTTATGTTTGCCAACAAATTCCTTGACATCGCATTACAGCCGTCGTTTTTAGCTGCTCCTCGATCTCGCTGATCGCTCTCCTCCTTGATGACACTAAACCCCGTTGAATTACACCTCAGTGCCGCCCGGTGCTAACTCGCCCAGTAGTTCTGAAGAAAACTGAAGGACTGGATTTCATTGTTTGTTATCCTTTTGCTTGGTGTACACTTACCCCAACTCTATGGGCAGCACTCGACGTGACAGACCACTCGGTTTCAATCGCTAGCCCATCAATCCGGCTATTATACTGCTTTTCCTCCTTGAATTGACCCGATTTTTTTCCATTTTTGCTCCTATATCTAGTCCGTACGGTAACTTGAGATTCATGTGTTGCTGACTCATAGTTGATGAACTTTACCTTTCGTTTGTTTTCCCACGAATTTTCTATCCCCGACGACGGAAATTATGGTTGTTTCGTTTCCGCAGACATCGTAGGTTATCGTTTAACTTATGCCGTTCCATCTTCTGTTCTCATTGTAGCTATGATCCTCATACGAATCAGTGGTCATCCGATATCGCCCCGACCAGTACTTGTCGAACCAGCGTCGGGGTTGCTGTTCTGAACGGATTTATGTATGCGGTTGGTGGTCAGGATGGAGTGAGCTGTCTCAGTCTGGTGGAGCGTTACGATCCTGTGGTGAACAAGTGGATCAAGGTGCGTTATGTTTTTTCTTCGTTACTTGATGCGTTACATAACAGTCCCTGCCTCGATCATGTAAACCGCTTAGGTATATTCTGTTGCACTAGTTCAACCAGAAATCAATCCATCACGTCCCCTGCAACCGACCATTGCTACTCACCAAACGTGTCATGTTTTGCCCTTCTATGTTTCGTTTTCACATAGCTTCTATCGCAGTTTTTCTGAGTAGGCGACCACACCGCACGTGTCGGGTTAACGCCCTGCGAAAATTATGGATCCGATCTATCCAGAGGACATTGTGAATTTTTCTAATCGGTTACTCGGAGGCTAACAATCAAGGGTGATAACAAAGCTAGTTCCTTAGAACAACAAGTTGTGTTGGCTGGGACACGTACTACGTATGCCCTGCCACCGCTTGCCGAAGAGGGTCTTGTTTTGTCTGCCAGATGTAGGGTGGCACAAGAACCGAGGTGGACGAAAGTTAACTTGGCAGCGGGGATTAAAGTCACGGACGGCCATACTCGGTGCTGTCGGTCTGTCTCACCATCCAGACTGGAGTTCACATGCTTCGCTATGTGCTTGGCTCGAGACTACAGGGCATGACTCGCAGTCGACACCATTAGCGTGTTTGCTGCCGTCTCCTAGTCGGACTGCCTGTTTTCAGCGTGTTTGATGCCGAATTCTCTGCGGCTATGACGCGGGGCAGTGAAAGCCGCAAGGAAGCTGTCTCCCTGCTTCCGCTTTATTTTTGCATGATAGCCAGCTCTTTGTGACATATGTTGTTGACGAGGTGTAGGCACCTTGACCCTAACTGTGCTTAGGGCATTAGAGTTTTTCGCTAAGTCCGCCTTTTTTATTGTTCTCCGTCCCGTACTTTGTTATGGTTGTATGGCAGCGAACAGCCATAACAACGTACGGGACGAAGAACAATAAAAAAGAAGGCGGACTTAGCGAAAAACCCTAATGCCCTAAGCACAGTTAGGGTCAAGGTGCCTCCACCTCATCAACAACATATGTTACAAAGAGCTGGCTATCATGCAAAGATAAAGCGGAAGCAGGGAGACAGCTTCCTTGCGGCTTTCACTGCCCCGCGTCATAGTCAGCCATTACGCCGCAGAGAATTCAGCATCAAACACGCTGAAAACAGACAGTCCGACTAGGAGACGGCAGCAAACACGCGGGAGAGCCTATGGTGCGCTGAGGCCGGTGGTGGCTAGATCCTGACAGATGGTCTACCCATTGCTGCTGCTGTTGCGTCACTGGCTCATGTCCTGGACGCCTCCTCGTGGCGATCGCTGGGTGGGACTTGGGTTTCGCCCTTCTCGCTGCTAAGATCCAGGACACCAATCCGCATGAGTCAGTGAACTGACCATGTGCTAGACCCGCTGCCTTTCAGGTGTTCATTTAATCGAAGGCTTTGGCTGAGGACCCGAGTCGTTCTCCAGTCAAGAGTGGGCGCCCTGCCAGTATCCTAGTCCATCCTCTTCGGAGGTTAGGAAGTGGTCGATGGCCCTCTTCCCGTAAAACCTAGCCATGGAAGACAACTGATCTACGGGTTATAAGCTCACATCTCGATGGGCGTAGAGCACGAGCGCCACGCATTGTCTATGACGGTGGGAGGACACCTCCGGGTGTTCAATGGTTTGCTACTGCCCGCCTCAAGCCAGGCAGTGGCTGGTCAAATTGGTGCAAATCAGCAAAAACCCACCTGCGTCTGGCCATGGTCGCAGGTGTATCCTACTACGGTCGCAAAACTTATATGATTCGTTCCAGTACCTCCAAGGCTGCGTGCGACGGCCGTCAAGCAGATCCCAATCTGTCTCTGAAATCACATTCCCGAGCTGGATCTGCTCCCCACTGCTTTGTGGATCAGGCTATTGAGCCAAATGCTCCGGGCGGAGTCCCTCAAGCAAATCACCAAATCACCCACTGTCTTGTGGGTCAGGCTATTGAGCCAAACGCTCCGAGTGGAGTCCCTCAAGCAAACCTCCGAAGCACAACGACCACCTCGCGTGCGATTGCCCACCAATGCAATCGTATCCCTGCGCGCAAAGCACTCAGCATCGGGTGCTGGAACGTGCCCACACTACTGGACCAGAACTCCAGCGAGCGCCCGGAGCGACGCACTGCACTGGTCGCGATGGAACTGGCGCGCTACCACGTCGATATTGCGGCGCTCAGTGAAACCCGGCTCGCTGAGCAAGGTAAGTTGCATGAAGCAAGTGCTGGCTACACATTCTACTGGGTGGGAAACACCGCCGTAGCACCACGTGACCATGGGGTCGGATTTGCAATATCCGATCGCCTGCATGGCCAGCTGGTGGGTGAACCAACGGGAAGCAGCGCGCGACTGATGACTGTTCGCCTACGACTCGGAAGAGGTAAGTTTGCTACTTTCATAAGCACGTACGGTCCGACCATGTGTTATCCTGATGACACGCGTGATCAATTCTACACTCAGCTATCCTCCGTGTTACGGTCTGTGCCGAGGAGCGACCGACTATTTCTGTTGGGTGATTTCAACGCACGTGTTGGGCGTGATGCATCGATGTGGACGGATGTTATCGGTTCGTATGGCATTGGTTCAGCGAATGCGAACGGTGACAGGCTGCTCTCACTGTGTGCCACTCACGGCCTGACGATCACGAACACTCGGTTTGCACAGAGTGCGAGTGACAGCAACTTGGACGCACCCACGGAGTGGTCACGCTCACCTGCTCGACTATGTCATCGTACGTCAGCGTGATATGCTTAAAGTGCGCATGACGCGTGTACTGCGTGGAGCTGAGTGTGGCACTGATCACAAATTGGTGCGGATCAAACTGTACATATATTTTTGTAAATCTATGTATTGCACTCCCCGCCGTGAATCGGCGTAAATTTAACATTCTCTCCCTCGGTGCTGTGGCGAGACCTACTGAGCTGGAGAAGGCGATGGCTGCACGCCTGTGTGATGTGGACTGCGACCTGTGGCACCACATTCGCGACCAGATGACAGCTTCTGCCGAGGAGACCATCGGGCGCGCAAACTGCAAGCGGCCTGATTGGTTTGGTGAGAACAGTGCGATGATCGACGCATTGGTGTCGGAGATGAATGCAGCATTTGCTGCACATGTCGCAGACCCCAGTGACTTGGGGAAGAAGAGTCAGTTTCGCAAATTTCGACGGCGACTAACCCTAGAGCTCCGTCGCGTGAAAAATACATTGTGGACGGAGAAAACGAAATATATGGAATGCTACGCCGAACGCCGCCAACACAAGGAATTCTTTGACTCCTTGAAGGCGGTGTATGGACGGAGATTGGAGCCGCTGAGGACGCTGATCGATGGTAGTTCAGGCGCTACCTGCACACGGACTGCAGACATAATGCAGATCTGGCGGAAACACTTTGACTGTCTCTTGAACAACCGTTCAGAGATCGACTGGCCTACATTGAACGGCCTGAAGCAGCACGATGTGAAAACGAGTCTGGCGGACACGCCGACACTGGATGAGACACAGAGAGCACTTGCTCAGCTGCGAAACGGCAAATGTGCCGGAGGTGACGGGATCCCGCCTGAAGTATTGAAACACGGCGGACCCGCGTTGTTGACTGCGCTGCACCACTTGGTGCAACGCGTATGGATTGAGGAGGAGGTGCCTGCTGAGCTGAAGGATGCTCTTGTGCTACCACTGTACAAGGGTAAAGGGAGCAAGCAACGTTCCACGAATTATCGTGTCATCAACTTGCTGAGTTGTGTGGACAAGGTGGTTGCCCGAATCCTGCTTAACCGCCTCGTCAGTCAGGTTGTGGAACCTAACGTGGTGGAAGAGCAGTGCGGATTCCGTTTGGGTCGCAGCACTATAGATGTGGTGTTTGCGGCTCGTCAGTTGCAGGAGAAGTGCACAGAACGACACCAGCTATTGCACTCGCTTTTTGTTGATTTCACCAAGGCATTTGATACGGTGAACTGCGAGGCATTGCGGCTGGTGTTGGGTAAGTTTGGTTGCCCGCGTAAGTTTGTAAGTTTGATTGAATATCTGCACATCGGCATGCGAGCGAGGGTACAGCTGAGTGGAGAGACCTCGGGTGACTTTGCAGTTGTCTCTGGTGTGAAACGAGGCTGTGTCTTAGCTCCTGCCCTGTTTAATCTATATCTTCATGCTATGGTGTCTTGTACTTTTGACTCCGCTTATGCTTACGGTGTTCGTGTGGAGCACCGTATTGATGGTGGGTTGCTGAACATCCGTCGTTTCGGTGCGAGAACTCTAGTCTGTGAGACAACTATCCGTATGTCGCTGTTTGCTGACGACTGTGCGTTGTTTTCACACAGCGCGGATGAGTTGCAGCACATGACTAGTGCTCTGACTTCGACAGCGGCCAAATTCGGGCTCACCATCAACACAAGCAAAACTCTGTCTGTCTCTTTCAGCCTTCACCGGCGGTGCAACCTTCAATATTGCTGTGAATCAGCATTGGTGCTGAAGTATTGGAAACCACCTCCCGTTTCAGCTACCTTGGGAGTGTGATGTCGACGGATCAGCAGCTACACCTTGAGTTGCGTATTCGCGTGTCGAAGGCAGAAGCGACATTCGGAAAGCTAGAGTACCGAGTGTGGAACAACTATCAGCTTACCATTGGCACGAAGCTGATGGTGTACAAATCGATGGTGCTGTCCGTTCTTCTATACGGCAGTGAAACGTGGGCAATGTACTAGTGGGATGTGTGATATCTAGAGCGGTTCCATCAGCAGTGTTTGCGACGAATTTTGCGCTTCAGTTGGGGCGACAGAGTTGCTGACACAGAAGTGTTGCGACAAAGTGGAATGTATGCAGTGGACTGCATACTTTTGCTGAGACAGCTGAGGTGGATCGGTCATGTGAGCCGTATGGATTCGACGCGGATACTGAAACAACTATTATATGGTCAGCTGAGTATTGGGAAGCGGCATTGGGGGAAACCAAAGTTACTTTACCAGGACATGATCAAAGTGAGCCTCTCACGTTCTAATCTTGATTACAGGTCATGGGAATCGAAGGCGGTTGATCGGCGTGCATGGCTCGATCTGATCACGAAGGCAGTTGCTGAAGTGCGGGAGAACGACCTCATGTATGCAGAGAAGAAGCGGCAAGTGCGGAAGCGGCAAGCACCGATGAATTGTACTCCATTGACATGTAGTGCATGGTGCTGTAGCACATGCGGTCGCGAGTTCCTGAGTCAGGTAGGCCTAGTGAGCTATGAGCGAGGCCACTCGGGACCACTACAGAAGCGACGACGGGTCCTGCCGAGAAAGTAGGCAGAACCGGCGCAGCGTTTGTAGGTACGCTGCATTCGATTTACTAACCGCGTGCTTGCATGCTAAGTCTCTTTATTTCAGGTGGTGAGTTTTCAATTTTGCCTTAATGCTTTTCTTTCTCATATAAATGTCTACCTGTACTCTATTCCATTAACTTGCAAACGTCGCTTAAACCAATTGTATTCGAGTTCCGTAGCATTTTCGTGTTCGTGGCATTTCCCTAGTGTATACTTACTGACCTCATGAAGATATCTAGGATTCGCTTGTAAACAACTTATTTTATATGCTCATTAATTTAAGGTTTATGTCACCTTTTCCTTATGCATTAATCGAGTTATTTTTTCTATCTCTCTCTCTCTCTCAAGTGATTGGCTGTTGCTTGAAATCCCCCATGTGGCTGCGCTTGATGTGCATGTTAACATGGTGCCTACCTGTCTATTACCCATTACCTCGTCTATACTGGCTCCAGGAGACAGTTTGTCGTTGCTGGTGGGGACGGGGTGCACGGTCCTTGTGGCCGTGCTAGGCTCGAAGAGTGGTTCCATGCAGTCAGTGTAGAGCGGACTACGGTCCAGCCACCGCCTTATGTGCTCTTGATTCCCAAATACAGCGTGCTTGTGTTTGCCTGTGAAGGAGTGTGGGCCGGCTCCGTTGATGAAACGTGGTTCCCATCCACATACCTCCCGGTCTTATTCCTTCGGGTTTACACTGGATATGGGGTGTGTGGGTGGTGCAGCGCAAGCCACCCGTGGTCCCTCTGTAGGCGCAGACGTCCTGTGGCTGGCCACTGTGACAGGCAAATCCGAAACCGGATGCCGCCAACCATGGCAGCGAAGCACCAGTTCAAATGGCGGATGTACTGCTGCTGCCGCCGCCGCTGCTGCTGCTGCTGATGATGATGATGATGAACAGTCGATTGTGCTCGAGCAATTTGTTGGAACTTTGATTTTGTATAAGGACTTTTTGTGTCTTCGAGATTAGCGTCTTGGATAAGCGTCCACTTTGACGTAAGCGAGTATAAGTGTAATTGGCCTTGAGTCTTGAGGATGAAGATGCCTATTTTCACTCCTCAGCACCCAGAACGACGGTGTCGATGGTCCTAATTTATGTTTGAAGCTCGCTTCCTATAGCAGCAGCCCTTTGCAGCGTTTAGGTCCCTATGCTTTTCCCCATATTATGCGGTCGTCATGGCCGACTATAAATCTGACACTTCACTTGATCGAGAAATAGTATTGCCAACGAGTACTATGCTCTAATAAGGCCCGCGTTTTTGTATAGACCCGGAACCTAGCCACTTCGTGCTGAAGACGTAAAGAGATTGGTCGTATTCAATCACTGATACTCGCGGAGTATCGCTCCCATCTGTTCTAAACAATGCTAAGGTCCGCCAGTTGGTGTTTGGTTAGAAATCTTTTAATATGATGTATTTAAACTTGAACAGCTTTCGTTGGCTAGGCAATGTTTCTCGTGTACCTGTTGACCGATTTCGTCGGCAGAAATTTTACACTGCCGTTTCACTTAGCTGTGCACGACTACGAGGTGATCAGTCTATGAACTCTCTGAAAAGCATACCTAAATTTGCCGTAAGATTTGGGCAGGGTGATACCGTTTACATTCGTGGATGGGGGCCTCGGGATGAGTTCCATCAGTGTTTGGAGACCTTATCAGCCATGGCACCATCGCGAAGCCAATGGTCACTTGCACTCATTTCCTGCTGTTTTACCCCCATGTCGTTTACATTATACCTTATTTTCTTCACCTCCGTTACTTAATGTTGCTGTGGTGATGTGAGTCGTGGTGACTGGATGCATCGGCTGGTAGCCGAGTGGATTACAGGCTTGACTTGCAATCCGGAGGTCACCGGTTCTAATCCGCGTGAAACCGGGCCATCTCCCTGTATGCCCAGCTCACGCGCTACGGTTGGTGGTCACATGGTAGCGAAGCGTCGGTGCAGTGTGCCCTCGTACTACTGATGCCCTTTCACTTGGTCACCAGACTCGATTTCACATTTAACTAGGACTAGAGCACCTTGGTTTCATGACTGCGGGTTTTCCTACTTTGTACCTCATTCCTTTTGAATCCCTGTATCTCTTTATGGAACAAAATACTCTACTGGTCTAGCCTCCTGAACAACTTGATTTCCAAAGCAATATAGACAAAGCTCGATGTGAAACAAATGGGAGAGTTAATTTCTATAACACTGTTTTTCAGTGCACAGCTATGACTCAATTCGCTTGAAACCATAGTCTTGTGTCATGTTTATCTCGGATACTTATCGTATGTATGCGTTCCGGGTTAGGGAATTACAAGTTAGCAGTGAAATAGTCATTGGGGAATATCACGTTGACGATACAAGTACGTGGCAATGGTTTACAAAGGTGTGCTCCAATTGGCCGCGATAGCGCTGGTGAACAAATGTCATGTTTTTGTTTCACGATATGGATAGGTGTATTCCACTAGACATATGACTGATCGATGGTCTGTCTACATCCCGAATGTTTACCTACCATGTTTGCGTTTCCCCCATGGTGCCTTGTTCCCTGCCACCCGTGTTTGCGTGCTATCGAAGCACAATTGCGTTATATATAGTTTTTACTGATGAGGTTGCTATTGGTGCAAATTTCTTGCTGCACTGACCTTGGCTCTAAAAACGTACATCATAATTGCTGGGTGTCAGCTTAGGTCTCGTCTAGTCATCTCCATTTTTAGCTGAGGACCGCTCGATCCATCCCTGCTAGCCCAAATACTATGCCCATAGAAATGCAAGAAGGCACGCTTTTATGAAGGGTACTCTAATTAACAAATCTCTCCAGGCATTTGCAATTGTAAACTAAACTTAAAACAAAATAGGGTGGTGAAGCAGAGGGATGCTTGTCGGAATCACAACGGGGGCAGAAATTCGAACGTCTTGACCAATAAATTTGTAGGTGTTCTCAGATGTGGGTGTTAAAGTAAACGCAAGCACAGACCTGAAACAGAGCACGGGTTGGTTAACTGGTGGGGCGACTAATATATCACTCGATCGTTGTCAGCGATGGTTTCTGTCGTCCATAAGAGTCGTTTTCCAAACCCTTTGGGATATCATTTTAGCACGACAAACTACAGAGGGCATCAGCTGTCCTGATTTGGTGTCCAGGTGTTCCAGGATGGAACTGTTGATACAACTGGCAGTGCCTATCTGCAATGACGTGGTTAGTGCCCCGCTAACCATATCAAAACCGTTGACTTAGTGGGACTGGTCATTCGCGCTTCTATCAGATTGAAACTTGTTTGGGGCGCCTTGGATTGGGGTTTGGAACGAAACATCGTTACAATAGCTGCTGTTTTGCCTTTGACGACAATGGCAATAATGAACGAAAATCGCTTTGAGGTTGGAGTAGTTTCCGTGTTGGTCCTCCCAACACTGCTGTCCTACGACCGGTTTCGTTTTCGTTTGGACTCAGCAGATTGTTGTACTAAGCATTGCTCATGGGTCTCAGGTCTCAGCCGTTAACCATCAGGCCATGAGTTCCACTCCAAGTTCAGGCTGTCTCTACTAGATGAGTCTAAGCAAAGGCAAAATCGCTCGTACGGTGTCAATATTGGGAGGCGCAGTTTACCGAGACCGCTCCATTTCGGATACAGTCCCCTTGATCATTATGACTGAGGTCCACTTCAAAGTAAACCGCGATTGCGTGTCGCAGTCCAACCACACAGCGAGTACTCCAGACCCAACTTCGCTTTGGCTTGTTTCTATGCTGCCTGTATTTTGCTTACCTTCAGATAGTACTTATCGTTTTGAACCCTTTGTTTACCTTGTCTTCGTTTATATTCGCTTAGACTCTTTTCATCAATTATACTGCCTGTCACTGGAACTTCAGGACATTATTTTGATGCACGTCTGATAGTGCTAACCCGTTGGCGCTGGTTCTGTCGTGCACCGTCGAGTTCATTGGCACCCAGGTTCCGCCGAACCAGTAAACATCACTTTATTTCTATACCTTGTTTGTCATCTTTTTCTCTCCTGCTTTGAAATCCGCATCTTCTGCTCCATTTTCACTCCTCAGGTGTCCAACATGGCTTCTCGACGCTTGGGCGTCGGTGTAGCTGTCCTCAATGGCCAGCTGTACGCTGTCGGTGGTTCAGATGGTCAGCAGCCATTGTCTTCGGTAGAGCACTATGACCCTCGTGTTGGTACATGGCACCGCATGTCCTGCATGGGCACTCGAAGGAAACATCTTGGTGTGTCTGTGTACAATGGACTTATCTACGCTGTTGGTGGAAGGGACGAAGTAACCGAACTCTCCTCCGCTGAATGCTTCGATCCACGCACCAGAACTTGGTCTCCAGTTGTTGCTATGACATCTAGACGTAGTGGGGTAAGTCATCTAGTAGGATTGGTTCACTGTAAATTACAACCTGGTTACATTCCCTCCATTGTCCATCGATTTGTATCAAAAGTTTGTGATGAGGCTCTCGTTTCGCAAAATAAATTATGACGGACTTTAATTTGAATGCCATAATATCTCTATTGCACGTTGCACTTGTTGAATAGGTGCTGTAGTAGCTTGCATTATGTCTCGGAACGATGTACTCACATAGCACTTACATTATGTTGTTATACTTCACTCCATAGTCATGAGTCCGATTGTATAATGTACCACTGCGGCTACCTATTTGGCCTGGTTCAATTTACCGGACTTCATCGGCGCTTAACAGTTAATAATCGTGTCAGCCGGAACGCCTAAAAGTTCTTTTTTTCTATTCCTGGGTGCGCGCTCGTATCCATCTAGTAATGCCTCTTTCCTTGTAAATGTCGTCGCTGCTGTGAGCCAGCTTATGGCACGCTACAGTCGAGAACACGATATTATTCGACCTCCGCTTTAACTATCAACATTGAACGGCTGATACCTACGTATTGAGAACCATCCTTAAATATTTCTATCGCCTGGTGTTTCTAAGTTTCGACTCGACGCACTAGATGAACAACAAAATGGTGGCTTTTATGAATCACCTACTCACACATTGCAAAGACGCATTGCTACGACACTTAACTTTTGCCTTGAAGGCAAGCAGTTATGCGAGTTATTTGCAGAAGTAACGTGATAAATTCAACTATTAGATCAAAAATGACGTGATAGTATCAGGATCGTTAGGTCTGGTAGGAAATTCGACATCCATTAACTCTGGTCACTTAGTATTGTGCTCCTGGAAACTCCCGCTAGAGCGTCGTTCGAACTTTAGTTATAATTTTTTGGCTACTTGACTGCTCTAATTCTCTTCAAACGGAACCATTCACAGGACTTCCAATGAATGCGGACATACAGACGTTTATGGGGTTGCAAGTTGGCTAACCGTTTTTATCGTTTGTAACTCTCCACTTTTTACAGCACCTTTCAAAGCTGTTTCTCTTCTCCTTTATCCAAGGTCGGTCTGGCAGTTGTAAACAGCCACCTCATCGCTATCGGGGGGTTCGACGGTGCAACCTACCTCAAAACTGTTGAGTTGTACGATCCTGACTCCAATTGTTGGCGTATACGTGGCAGTATGAATTCCCGTCGTCTTGGTGGAGGCGTCGGTGTTGTTCGACTAGCTGGGTCTGCTTGGACAGCTAACATGATGAGCACCAGAGGATCAACTGATGAAACGGAAGGATCGATGAAAGTGTCCGGTCTCTCAGTGCCAATTCCACCAGGTCTCTCTGCTTCGGTTTTCAATCAATTCAGTGGATCCTCTTCTTCTGCATTACCAATGTCTTCTAGTATGACCAACTCAGCAATTGTGACCTCGTCCAACTCTGTAGGACTCTCGAATTCAAATGGAGGGACCATGTTATCATCGAGTAGAACATCCTATAACAACGCTTTCTTATTCTAAATCTGTGGCACATACCATACTAACCATAGAGATGGTGTGATTGGTTCACATCTTGTTTCGTTACAATCTTTTCTCTCTGTCACCTCCGTGTACATATCGCTGTTTCTTTCCTCCACTTTTTGTATGTATTCTGACGGTGCCACGCGTTGTATCTGCCCCCACACTCGCACTAGTGATTTTTAGCCTTGTTACGGGTATTTATTTTTTGCTTGTTTTGTGTTTCATTTCTTTTCGAAAGACGCACGTAGTATTGTCTTTCTGAATTTTCCCGGGAGACCTTTTCCTCCATGGTGTTGAACTCTGCACCGAATTTCTGTCTGTTATATACGCACGTCCTTGTTCCTTTATTTATGTGTACACACAATGTGAATATGCCATTAGCACGTTGTATTGCTTGCGCTGTGTCGTAACTGGGTTTGTGGTATCATTCACTGCTTGGCTGTTTCGTTCGTTTGCCTTTCTGTACACTTATCTTAAAACTCACAGCTTCTCCACGCCGGGTCAAAACTGCCTTCGTCTAAGCCCTGGCAGGGTTCGCAACTCATCTATTTTAAACTTGGAGCGTCGTGTGTTGAACGCTTTGAAAGCATTTCAGCCAACCCGCCATCACAGCTGTTAATTGGGTCATTTAGCCCATCTTTGGACATTATCGTCATAACTTTCACCATCGATGTGATCCAATCATTTAATTCGGCCCTGCTAAAAGGGAACATTGTCCTTATCTTAACGAATTCCACCGGCCTATCTGACTGGCTGTTGTAACCTGTCATTCCCATTTCCACGAAGAGCTGAAATACCTGTGTAAATCACCGAGACAACAGTCTTGATACTTCACATTCATAATCCTGCTACAGCTTAGTAGCCTCAAGTTGGTCGAATCAGTGAGAGCCGTTCGATTTCCACTCATATGGGGGGTACTTGATAATCGCACATCTACATTTCACTCTACAATCCAACTGTGTCATGCGTGCAGATGGCCTACCATAGTATGCTTCCTTGCTTTCATTGTCTTTAGTTAAATTCATGGATCTTCACTGCTGTACTCTTTAGCTTGTGGTACTACTGCCTGCCGTCTGCTCTGCCTGATGCCAACTCCAATCTTGAAACCAAAAACAAAGTCGGTATGTATACAAATAAAAGGAATGGCTCTACTTTTAGGTCCTTCATACTCTATTTATGTAATCCGTGATCTCCCTGTCTTCGGTGTCCTGGCCTCAAGCAATGTGAACGCGCTCTGCTTGACTGATTTGTCATATTTTTCCGTCTTTTCGCGTCAAGGCACGACCCTTGTTCACACAATCGAAGCTCATCTGAGTTTACCAGCCACTCACACCACACCAGCGTTCCCTATTTGGCCGACCATTCGCGCGTCCGGCATGAAGCTTCTTCAGGCTGGCTGCACTTTGTGAGTGAATATTCGCTCCGATTAGCCATCTATTGTTCACCGCCACTGCTCCTCTCTTTCAAATATCCTTCTCGTAGGTCAACCAGCAGGGGCTGACCACTAACTTTGCATCTAATTCCGATTCTATGTCTAAGTCGCCCTTCGGAACAAGGTTGTTACCTCACATCGCTTTGTTCAACTTTCGTTTTCCATCAGGTCGTTCAGTGGTTTGCACCAACTCTGGTTTCTCACCAGAGCTGGTAATCGAATCGTGCACTGTCTTCGGAACACGTATATAAGATTGCAGCGTTGTAATAAATTTTCTGCTGCTCGGCTCAGGTCTAATGACGGCGACCACATTCTCTCCGTCTCTTGCGTTACGCAGTCGTTGACCCAACTTATTTAGATTGTCAGTATTGCTCTCAGCAGAAATAGTGGAGGGATTCCACTCAGACGAATTCCAGAGAATGGTTCCATGCGTACTGTTCGACTTTGAGCGAAATAATCAACCCTTGCGTTAATTCCATGTATGCTCCCGTCGACTTGCACCTGGAGACTATCATTGCTACCTTCTTCGGTCAATTCTCGAGCATATGCCTAGGTATGCGAATGTTGTTACCGTGACTTGTTTCAAGAACATTCGGACTGATGGCTTATTGCACTCCGAACAGTTCCTCGGAGCATTTTCGGAGTCGATACCTGCCATTTTGATAATGAAATTCTGTTTTTTAATTATATGCCGACCACTTCCATTGTGTCATACTGCCTCCCTCGCAGGTACACGTTCCTATTGCGTCACCTTGCCCCCGCTGAACGAACCGATGCTTTGAATTCAACCAGCTCATGTTGCTATCAACTACAGTTGACGCGTATCGTTACAAGATTGTCAGTCAGAAGCACTTTCGCGATCCTAATTGTGCTTTCTGTACGTTCAGTTTCCCTGCTTCAGCGACGTGTTCAACCTCAAAGTTGCCTACTCGTACACGATTTAGTAGTGTCAAACTGATTTAGCTCATCATCTGTTACTGACGGATTATGTAAATTATCGACGTGGTCATTGAGCTTTGTATGCCATGAACATTCTGATTTCGCTCTCAGCCCACATTGAAACCTCTATATGGTGAGCAGATCTTGGGAGCTCTGATAGGATTGGTTGTGGCAGTTCCTTCTGTTAGGAGTTCCACTTCGGACTGTCCGTTGTACTTTCAGTTGGAGTTTTACTACAAATCCGACGGATAACACGTTTGTGATTATTCGGTGCTTTTTTGGTTACCAGAAGCCAGTAGAATTGGGAACAACCGATTACTGTTCTGAGGCACAGGTCCAAGAATCATCCCTGTCAGTGTTGGAATGGCCGAGAAGGCGTACAGTTGTGTCGATTGGGTTACTTGGCAGTATGTTTGAGGATTTTTCCATAGGTTTGTTATGGTGCCATCATTTACTGAATCGACGAACCCATTTTTGGCTTTGACTTATGGTCTCCTGACTTACTCCTAGCGAACTGGCTCTGCTGAAGTGTAAAAGACTTGTTGTTAATGAAGTGCCCTGGGAACCTGTTGATTACTGGTCTAGCGGCTGTATTCCACACTAAATGGGGACGTCGGAGCGACACCTTCCGATTGGTGACCATCCTGCTCCTCCTCTGAAATGTTTGCAGGGCTTTATCTGGAAATCAAGACATTTGCGTTATTTTTCTTGCTGCTAATTGTTTTCGTACTGTGACAACTAGCTGCTTCTCAAGGAAACCAAACTCCTGAAAACCAGTCTATCTTCTTCCACATTGGATGTTGCTCTGGCTACATATTTAAACTTCAACAAATGCCGAAATAGTTACTAGATTAGTAACGACTAAGTTTGACGGTCTTATCTGAAGTAAAAGCCATCTTTCTTCCATTTGATCATAATAGACGGCAACAGTACCTTATTTGGAGATTTATAAAGCGTTGTTCCTCCTTTTTGGTTTGTTTTGGTTGGATCAAGCTTTCGTGCTTCCACTTCTCTCTTTTACTCTGTAGTCGAACTGATAGCAGATATTTTCGGAATGGAAATTCCTCCTTACAACTGCTTGGCAGTTTAAAAGTGCACGAACGCTACAGCTCTTCTTGGGCCTAAATCCCGTAGTAGCTCTGTCGAATGTGTCCACACAAGGTGCTGCACGTTCTCATCATCATGGATTTGTACCTCAAAGTGTCAGATCTGCTTACTTATCTGGCTATTTGTGTTACTTCGTTCATATCTGATCGGAACACTGAACGCTGCCGAGGTCCTGTAGACATCTGGAAACAGACTTCGCATTATCTTGATTCCTTTTGAATCGGAAACTTAACCAACTCATGTCGTTGACCGTTGTTTTATCTAATTCGGTAAAAATTCGTGGTGATCAACCGATGGCCTGGTAAAGGATGTGGTATAGCTGAAATCTGCCCTGTTCGCCTTCCGTCCGCTTGCATTGAGGCTTCGCGACCGTCATTCTCCGACATGGAACAGCCACATAGTCATTGGCTTCTCCACATTTTGCCATTCTCCTCAAGTTTTCTGCATCATGCTGTGCTCGATGCGTCCCAGCAACTGCCGTTGACAGCCACGCTGCGATTGCTCGAACCGTGATTCATTTCCTCTGTCTCAACTATTGTGCATCATGGAACGATGGTTCATTGCTCTTCTCTATGTTGCATCAGATCTGACTGCTGGCCATTTATCCATCTGGTTAATGCTTTTGCCCCGGATGCGTTCATTTCGCTATTCCTCTGGATTGGGAACACTGTCTCTGTGTTGATTGCAGGTTCGCTCACTATTTCTACCGTGTATGGCTCTTAGCTTGCATACTTTGTCCAGGACTGTATTTACAATCGATTGGCACGTCCCGGTGCATCACGAGGTAAATGCTCACAGTGTCAATACCTCACGCAGCCCACATTACACTTATAGTCCCTGAGCTAACTAAGAAATTCCTGTGGCTGTTGCAACGCCATTCATACATGATTTTGTTGTTCATTCAAACGACCGGTAATCGCAGTGATTAGTATGTCCACGTGTCGCTTTTGACAACCTTGTAACTCACCTTAGAAATACTTAGTACCCTACCTTCATGTGACTCTTCGTCTAGATTCCACTGTGTTTTTATTGGTATCAGTGCGAAACGGATATTTTTGAATCTACTTTCTCCATACTCTCACTGACTCATTTGAACCAGCGTACTCCTGTCTCTGGTCGCAGATTCTGCGGCGCTGAGGGGTCGTATATCTATTGGCCCTTCTACTCGTTGCAGTCATTATGCTGGCTCCTTTTCAACCTTCCTCGCAGTCATATCAGTTGAGAAGGGAATAACTCGTTTGACGTGCTGACCTGTCAGGTGGCTTATTTGTTTCTACCTTATATTACTAATAAGCCGATAGTAGTCGTTTTTATTTCAAAAATAAATTTTCCTCGGTCTGCAAAGGTTTCAATTTGCCTTCCGTAATTTCCATGTAAACTCAATGCGTTGCTCCCGTAATCAGTACGCAGCCCAGACTTAATTTGCGACTTATATCTGGTTCATCATTTCTCCGGGGTGGGTGGATGGGGAAAAAGGCTATCCAGTCTTCTGCGCAGCAGCAATGTGCCAATAATTAGGATGAGCCGCGCAGTAACCGTCATATCTGCAGTTGTCGTTATCCGCCGCCCATTAATCTGAAAGTTACGGATTCTAACCTCACAATGACAGACGGAGTGTGCACTGCTGATTATCGTGCGGATGAAGCAGCCGTTTATTGCTTTTCTCGGTATGTGCTAGCCAGGTAACTGAGTCCACTTGGTAAATCTCAACGGTCGTAATCTGCGCCGAGCTCACACAACGATAGGAGATTTTACTGAGCCGACTATGCGGTACTACTATAATTATCCCACTTGAAATGTATTGCGAGCTTGAGGAACTATTAGTGTCGCTGGCTCTGCATTCCATTCAGTCCAATGGGGCTCTCTTCGTTAGCTCTGACAGCATTGTTTGGGTCTTGTTGGAGGTACCAAGTAGTGCTTTGGTTGCTTATCACTGTACTAGTTTTTCACCGGCTATCAAAAAACTAACTTCCGCACGAAAATAAAACGCATTAGCTTCATTCTCCACATTAGCTAGGATGGGGAACACCCCAGCCAATGTTTCGTACTACAGTTTGATTAGGTGGCATGAAAACAACAAGTGCAGAATTAAACAAATACACTTGTATATTTCGTTTTGTGTTACGCGCACTGATGACGAGAATGGGGTGGGCAGGGTAAAGCAACAGACGCATTGAGGTCCACACTTCTCCATATCAACAAAGGTATCTAACCAAACGTGTTTGTGGTCTTTCAGACCCCAAACAGGAAGTGGCGAATCTTCAGCCGAGGCTAACTTTGAAGTGAAGGCTTCCATTACTCTCGACTAAATCATCAGTTGGCTTTTCCTCTTCTCTCCAGACCGCCGTCACACTA